TCCTTCTCTTCCTCCTCCTCCTTCCCCTTCTCCTCCACCTCCTCTTCCTCTTCCTCCTCTTCGTCCCCTTCCTCCTGCTTCGCATCCTGCTCCTCCTGTCCATGAGTGCCGTATCCTCCTCGTCCTCCTCGTCCTCTTCCTTCTCCTCCTCCTCCTCCTCCTCCTCCTCCTCCTCCTCCTCCTCCTCCTCCTCTTCCTCCTCCTCCTCCTCCTCCTCTCCATGAGTGCCGTATCCTCCTCCTCCTCCCCTCCTCCTCCTCCTGCTCATCCCCGTCCCCCCCCTTCCTCCTCGTCCTCCTCCTCCTCTTCCTCCTCCTCCTGTTCCTCCTCCTGCTCCACCTCCTCCTCGCCCTCCTCCTCCTCCTCCTCCTCCTCCTCCTCGTCCTCCTCCTCCTCCTTCTCCTCCTCCTTCTCCCTCAAGTGCGGCGCCGGCTCGTAGCCATTTCCGTAATCGGTTTGTGCTGGAAGCCCCAGCCTCGTCTCCGCCTCAACGTGGCACTTGGGTGGCACCAGAGCGGTATCCTCGTCCTTGCGAGACTCAACCGGTTGGCGAAGAGGGACGGTTTCAGGGTCAGGCTACGCAGTTTTGTATTTTGCTCTGGCAGGGTGGTGTATTGCTGTTTGTGGGTTTCGTCAAGGCAAACACGGGGGAGGTTGTTAAGTTTGTTCTTGTTCCAGCTATTTTCGGCTCTGGGACTTCCTGATGGTTTGTCATCCCAGGCGGTCGGCGTGCTAGGGGACGGTTTCCCTTGTGGCACATCGCCTAGGGTTCAGCGGCTTGCTGCTCTGGTCAGTGGTGGTGCCCTCCCAGGCGGTCGGCGTGCCAGGGGCTTTTTCTCCCCCAGCGGCACTCCGCCTGGGGTTCAGCGGCTGGTACATCGTGGGCATCACTTTCGAGGCACCTGAGGGTGCTGGGTATCACGTCATCCATCGTCTTTACGGTGCTGGCCCTTTTATTCAATAATGGTGAAGAGCACGGCCATCTTTATCCTTCGGTTTCGTCTTCAACGCTCACTTCGGCACACAGATTCCCTTGTCAGTGTATTTCAATTTTCGCTTCAGCTTTGTATGTTTATGGGAGTGTTGGTGTGACGGTCGAAGCTTTCTGGATTCAGTTCTGGGTGAGACGGGCGGCGTCAGCATTGCCTTCGGTCTGCATTGCTTCGCATTCGGGGGGAGCTACCAGACGGCTTGATGATGTACATGTGATGTAATGAAATATTGTTCGAGGTTGTTCTTTCCAGCAGGCGTCGTCACTTCGGGTCTCCGTGGTCGTCGTCCACTGAGCTCGGGGAGGCGAGAGGTTTCGTTTAGGACAACGTCCTGGGACTCTTACTCCTACTCTAACTCTGTGGATGCTATTATTATGGACACACTAACAAACCTACAATTGAGTGTAACATGTGTTTAACATGTAGGAAGCCTGTTCTAAACATGTGTTAAACATGTGATTACTTGTTCAGGGAATGTTTGAACACCTGGACATTGCTTGGCAACATGCCTCCTCTCCATCGATCGTCGCCCACAACTCTTACTCTTACTTCTCCTCCTTCTCCTCATCCTGCTCCACCTTCTCCTCCTCATCCTCCTCCTTCTCCTCTTCCTCCTACATTTCCTCATCTTCCTCCTCCTCCTCCTACCCCTCCTCCTCCTCCTACCCCTCCTCTTCCTCCTCCTCCTCCTCCTCCTCCTCCTCCTCCTCCTCCTCTTCCTCCTCATCCTCCGTCCTCCTCCGCCTCCTCCCTCCTCCTCCTCCTCCGTCCTTCGCCTCCTCCTCCTCCCTCCTCCCTCCTCCTCCTCCTCATCCTCCTCCTCCTCCTCCTCCTCCTCCTCCTCCTCCTTCTCCGGCGGCGGCGGCGACGCCGACACCGACGCCGACGACGCCGGCAGCGCCGACGACGCCGACGCCGACGCCGCCCGGGAGGGACGACGGGCCCGTGGCGGGTCCCGCTGCCGGGCCGCCGCTGGCCGGGCAGCGGCTCGCCGAGGCTCCTGAGGCGTCGGCGGCGGCGGCCGCGGTGTCGGCGGCCACGGCGGCGGCGGCGGCGGCGGCGGCGGCGGCGGCCGCGGGCCCTCCTGGAGAGGGGGTGGGTCGACGGGGGGGGATGGGCAAGCCAGGTGCGCTCGCGCCTCATCTGGCATCCTATCCCTCCCTCCCATCCCTTCCCGTAGCGCTGATGCTTCATGATCCGCGGGCGCGTGTCCTAGCCGACCTGCGGCTCCCACAGGAAGACCACTTCATATCAGGCGTAATCGAAAAAGCGGGAGCTGCGTGCACAGGAGGAGTAGGTGGTGGCGGGTGAGCAGGAGGATGAGCGGGAGGAAAAGGATGAGGACGAACAACAACAGCAGGAACTAGAGCGAAAGGATAGGGAGGAAAAGGAGGACCAGGGGAAGGCGGAGGAGGGGAAATGAGGAGGACGACAACGATGAAGAAAGACTCGGATTCAAAAAAGCAGCCCGCGCTGGGGCGAGACGAGCAGCAGCTGCAGCAGCAGGA